AACTCTTCATGGCCATCTACAGATAGATAGATAGATAGATAGATAGATAGATAGGAAGGATCTTGTTTTTTCCCCCTTTTCATTGGGTATGTAAATAGTGCATTCAGAAAAGTTATCTCCCCAAACAGGGAGATTTCTAAATTGAAAAAGTATGATCAAAAATGATGATGCAGGTAAACTGCATAATGAAAAGGTTCTTACTAGTTTAATCTCTACCTGCTCTTCTTTTGAAATCATCTTAGCATCATTCTGGGAGTCTTATAAGCAGACAGCTACTCAAAAAACAAATTCTTTAAAACTATAATAAAGGCAGAAATGTCAAATAATGCCCATGTATTTGGTGTTTTGGGGAGAAAAAAAAATAAAATTGCTACAGTGCTTTATTATCAGGATATACCTAGGCAACAGGATATCTTAACACATATATTGTGTTCTTTGAGATATAGATATAGACAGTTGGATAAAAGCAGTATTGATCCTTTGATGTGAAATCTTCAGCTTCAGAATGGACATACAGTTTTCCATGTACAGTTTTTTCCATTCATGGAGGAGAGACAGGAACTCATTAAACACATCCTCTTGTATTTGTTTTTGTAGCAGAACACTATCCTCACCTTCACTGTTATTGTATGTTGATTCTTTTCATAGGTTTTCATGTATAATCACACCAGAAAAGTATCTTAATTATTTCCATGTTCATGTACTTTCTCTCTTATACTTTAGCTAGTGTTTCTTATTTTTTTAAAAGCATGTATTTTATTAGCTATAAGTACTAATAAAGTAAAGCAATAGTCCATACAATTCAGAGTACACCAAATCACGCATAACTAAATATTGTACCAAACATGAATCAGTATCAAGGAACCCACAAAATAAGCCAGCTGGGTGACTTTGGAGCAGTCACTTCTCTTATCTCTAGGAAGAAAGAATTGCCAAGTCATTTCTGAAAAATGCTGTCAAGAAAAGTACAGGGGGCAATTACCAGGAGTCCAAATAACTTGAAGGGACAATTTTCAAGCATGTACGTGACATTATTATATTTTCTAGATTCTATACTTTAACTAAGAAATACATAAATATTTTAACATGTCACTATTAAATGCATTTGCAGTTTACTCATATTCTTGTATTTGGTGCACAGATTTGTAACTGATCTGGGAAAAGCTGTGCAAAACATTTTTTTTTTCCCCATACATGAGACATCAGAAATTAGAGGGAATATTGCAAGGAGGTAATAAGTGGGAGTAGGAAGCGAGGAGGTGGTTTTCACAATAATTTGGTGGTAGGCCAGGAAGTAACATAATAATAATATGATTCTTTTTAATGTATTAATTATATTAGTTCCTATCTGATTTTAATGTGTTGATATATTAATAAAAAAGAAATGTATAAACACATATGGGTTTCTGAGCAGGGATTCAGTTTAATGGTCCTCATTTCTGTTTGAGTTTGATACCACTGGTATAAAGCATGAAGGTCAAATTTTCAAAAACCTGTTGTTTTTCCAAAATGCACCATATCGAGGTGACTCCGGCAAGGCAGTTCTTCTCCACCCATTGAGAGCAAGGCAATGGCTTTTGTAGGGTTGGATAACTTATTTCTGGGACTTTCCATTGCCTCCAGCAACAAGGAGAAGTTAACAGAAGCAGCCGGAACATTCCATTCACTACTTTCATATGATAAATAAATAAATAAGTGTGTGTGTGTGTGTATTAGGGTGGAAATATTCTGGTTCTTTTTTTTTTTTAATACCCTTTCAATATAAAGGTGAGGAGATTGGTCTCTTTTCTAAAGAAGGGGGAAAATTCTCTCTATACACATGCAACAGGGTCACAGGGTGGATGCCAGGTAAAGTGCTACCATGAAGATAGAAGGTAGCAACAAAAAGTACCAAGCTACTACCCCAATAAATGAAGTGGAACTAGGGAGTGAAAACCCAGAGGGTAGTTTGAGAGATGAGGCTTGGGACCTCCAGTTTTTCACCCTGCAGACCTCAGCAGTTCACTACATTATTGAACAATTCTCTTTTGATTTGTTAATTTCTCTAAGTTTTTTTTTTGGGGGGGGGAATGCAGGATTAACTGTAGAGGTGAAGTAAGAAAAACTCAGTGGAATCAACTGAGTTCAGCTTTCACATCTCTGAATCACATTTTGCTTCAATCAGTATTAGATTTTTAAAAGTTATTAATTTAATAGTATCAACATAGCTGAATTTTATTTATAATGGGAGAATATCCACTTCTTTTCCTCTATTTTGCAACAAGTTTTGTTTATATATAACAGTACCAAATAAGTTACAAATTTTCATTTTATATTTTTCAATATGCAAACTTAATTATTATATGTGTTATTTTACATATAGAATTGTATTTCACTGCTCTGTATCTAAGAAAATCACATTTTTTTTATAGAAATGAAAAAATTCCTTCTTTATGCAAGACATTCAGAAATAAGAGGTGTTGACATAGAGAATCCATACTTCAATTATATAACAGCATTTACAGTTCCTGATATTGATGATGTAACAGTTGTAGATTTTGATGCAGTGGAAGAACGTTTATACTGGACTGATGTGAAAACACAAACTATAAAACGGGCCTTTATTAATGGGACTGGCTTAGAAACTGTTGTATCAAGAGGTAAAGTGTGTATTTTAAAAAGCAATATTATATACATATAAGAAATAAAATAGAAATTATCTTTCCTCCCTAATTAACATATTATTAACATGTAAGCTTGCCATGTGGTCTTGAGTAAAAGCTGATCATTGTTAATTGTACTAAAAGGTTATCTTTGTTATGCATTACATATTTAAGCTTCCTTAACAATTATTTCTTTTCTATAATACTAGAAAAAGTTATAATTCTTTTGCTTGAAAACTGGATTTTCACCATTCTCTTTTTTGTTTTTTTTTGTACCTACATCTGGTCATTGACTGTAATAAGAATTTTGATTTGATTTGATTTTTGTTTTTCCAGTAGAGGCAATTATGTATAGCTCAGGGTTGAACAGTGGAGACCTTGGGGTTCTCTGAGCTTGGTTCTTTTCTTGCAAACGTTTCATTACCTGGCTAGGTAACATCTTCAGTGCTAAACAAAACCCCAT